GTCTGGAGGGCCTGAGTAGCTCGGGTAATCCTGGGATGGGAACAGGAAAGGGTCAGGCACCTCCATCTGGGCAACCACCTTCCCCTTGATTCTGCCTTGCCTGCCCGTACAGCCTTGGCATCTGCTTTGGGTCTCTTCCTCACCCCTTGGGTCAAACCAGGATCAGTTTGGCTTCATGAAAATCCTCAAGGCCCCAGCTCTCTGCCTGACATTACCCTAGACATTATTTTAGATGTTGGCTAACATAATCTTAGATGTTGTCCCTTCCCCCTAGAAACCAGTGCCTCTGTGCCATGTCCTGAGTACCTGCTGTGCAGCTGCTTGGCTGCTTGCACAAAGCAAGGCTGGTCTGTTTCCTTAAGTACTTCCTGGGCATAGCCCACTAGACCTGAGCCATCGAGCAGGCTCCGGTGCTCCTGGATCTGGGTGCTGAGACGGGCCAGCCGCTCCTGCTGACATTCTTCAATGGCCTGAAGGAGCGATGTCCGCTTCTCCTCCAGTACAGCTCCCAGCCCCCGCACCAACTGTGACACCTCCTCCTTGGCCTGCTGACCACTCACCTGCCCAGAGAGCAACACCCAAAGGACGCATGACCTACTGTCTTCCTCTCAGAGGCAGTACCTGTGCCAGCCCCCTGGGACACCACACCATGACTAGGATCACAAAGCACATGGGGAAATCCTACCTACCCATTCCAACAGGGCCAGGCTCATGGCCGCAAAGGCACCTGCACCCCCAGATGGGCTCAACTCCTGACCATTGTGCTAACCTTCCTGGATGCCTGTTATAATCCTGGCCCCTTAAGGACTCACCCAAACAAAAGAGGCCACGGCTGCACTAACATCCACTTGGACTGCACTAACTAATGTCCACTGGCATCTATGCCACCCTTATTTGTCCATCCCCATGTTAGCTGGTTCAAACAAGCTGGCAGAAGGTATCAGCCATCACCCCACCCTAGCTCCAGGGATGTGTGCCATCCTCAGTAGGTAACTAAGCTATATCCCCAAGGCTTTTCAAGTTCTCTCTGTCCTGAGCTATAGCCACCCCACCCCCACTTCAGCTCCAAGTACAGCCTGGCCTGGGGCACTGGTATTCCTGCCAACCTGGTTTAACCAGAACCTTGACACACCTCACGGGCTTCCTGAGCTTGCAACAAGGTGATTGGGCCAGGCCCACCCACACCCCCATCCTGCCCCCACTCCCAGACAGGGCCCAGGGCCCACCTCCATGCCCTCCCTCACCTCTGTGTGCCTCACGGTCTCCTCCAGCTCACAGATCTGGGTCTGTACAGTGTCCTGGTTTCCCAAGATGTATGTCAGGCTCTTTGTCAGCTTGTCCTAAGGGGGAAGAAAGAGGTGGGCATCACACCCGGCTCTGCAGAAGCCAGCAGTTAGGAGGAGGTGCAAGAGGGTGTGAGTGTGAGTTAGTACTGGGTTGAGTGGGGAGGGGTCCGCACCTTGAGGGCCTGGTAGGCGCTGAGTACTGGTGTGATCTTATGCCCACTGTGGGTGCGTCTCACCCGGCAGAGTTGGCATACCAGCCGTTGACACGTCTTGCAGTAGTGGGTCACCTCTTCCTTGTGGTCTGGGCACATCAGACCCTAGGGACACAAAGAGCAGTGAGATAGTCAGCCTATGGTGTGTATCAGGGTGCTGACCCACCAGTAGAGCAGTTCAGTGTCCTCCCTCTGCAAGCTGCATAGGAGTGGAAGGGAGAGCAGCTGGTGGTGCTCCACAGAGCCACCTGGTGGTACACACTGGCATCAAAGAGAGCCTTTCCTGCAGCCTCCAGGCAATGCCGATTTTACCAGCTTTGCTCCTCCCTTCATCTACCTTACTGGGATGTGTGGTAATAACAATAATAATGATTATAATTAATGTTAGCCTTGAGGTTAATAATTGACTTTGGCCGTCTTGTTCACTGCTGTGTCTCTAACGCCTAGAACAGCACCATGCACACAGGTGCCTGATAAATATTTGTTCAATGAATTAATGCATATAGGGCCGAGCCCGTGGCGCACTCGGGAGAGTGCAGCGCTGGGAGCGCAGCAGCGCTCCCGCCGCAGGTTCGGATCCTATATAGGGATGACTGGTGCGCTCACAGTGCTCACTGGCTGAGCGCGGTGCGGCCGGTCTCAAAAAAGGACAAAAAAAAAAAAAAAGAATTAATGCATATAGACCTTTGCACTGTACAGATAATACTTTTTAGTGAACAAACATTATCTCATGTGATCCTCTCTACAATCCTGCAGGAATGGATACTGCAGATAACTATCATCCCCATGCAGCAGATGAGATGGAGGCACCCAAACATGTTGAATGATTTGTCCAATGACTTTGTTAGAGAAAGGAGCTTGGCAGTGGTAAACCCCTCCCCCCTCCTTTTGGGAGCCCACAATGCCAGACACCCCCACCCACCCAGCACCACCATGTCCCTCCCTCTGTAGGCCTTGCAAGAGCTGGCTCACCTTGGGGCGGAAGGAGAGGGTGGGCAGGGTGGGCTCATGCTGGGCCTTCTGGGTACCCCAGGGGTGGAAGAGCTTGAAGCACTCATTGCAGAAGGTGGCACGGCACTCTGTGCAGCCCTTGGTGGCCTCTAGTGGAGGGGGCTTGCACAGCTGGCATAGGATGGCGCCTCCCACACTCACACTCTGGCGGTACCTCTCTACCACACGCTCCAGGGTCAGGTTCCGGAAAAGCCCTGCCAGGCCCCGCTCTCCCAGCTCCACATCACCCTGGCAGGCTGGGCATGGGAACATGATCACCTGGGGGTGCAAAGCACCTCGCTTCCGCCCGGGGTATGTCCCAAAGCCTGTGGATGGACCAGGGAGGTAGAAGAGGTGAGTTACAGCTGGCTGGGGGTGGAGAAAGTCTGTTCAATTAAAAAATTAGATTTTTATTGTAACAGAACTCAGCTCTTATTAGAGCCAGAATGAGCCATATCTCCACCCCGAGAAAGACAGACAGATGCCCCTGACCAGTGATAGACCCCTTCCATCTTCCTGATGGACAGCAAAGCATTCTCACCCCCACCCGACAGGTCCCAGCCCCACCTGACTTAAGCAGTCGGTCCAAGCGGTCTGGCTTGGGGAGAGTTCTGCGGGAGAGGCGGGGGCTGCGGGTGGAAGGGGTGGAGGCAGGAGAGGTGGGCTCAGAGCTGGGGTCCCCGCCATGGCCTATGTAGCCCTGCTGGCCCAACACCTCCCGGGCACAGGCCTGGCACACGTTGTGGGTACAGGGCAGCACCAGTGGCTGCTTGTACATCTCTTGGCACACTGGGCACAGCAGTTCCTTCTCCATGTTCTTCATGCTTGTCTGTGGAGGGACCGGGAGGCTGGGTCAGACCTGGGACACCTAAGCATATCTCAGCAGGACCCTAGGCTGCCCTTAGAGATCCCAGAGGTCTCAGAAAGAGGCAAGACAAGCTACTTAACGGCTTTTCCCCAACCCCTGCCTTGGTATGGTTCACAGACCTTTCCCTTGCCTCTTTCCCTCCTGCAGAACCAAAGGCCCACAGAGGAGGGATGGTTGGAGCTCATGCCTCCCGCAGCCTCAAACCCCACCCTCATCACTCTGGCTGCAGCAGCCTCAGCCGGCAGCCCCCCTCACTTGCCTCCATCTCCTCATCTCTGGGCCTCCTGCTCTGGGCATTTCTCTCAAGGACACCGCCCATTCCGCCTCCCGGTGCGACCCCCGCCCCCTTCTCTAGCACCCCTATTTCCACGCGTGACTCCTCCCCATTGCCAGGCGCCGCTTGCTCTCCATCCTCCTGCCCTCCCTATCCGTCCTTATGCAGCGGCTCCGGTCTGCGGCCGCCCTAACCTCCATTCCCCCTCCTTCACTTTCCCATCCATCTCCTCCAGTCCCCCATACCAATCCATTCTCCTTCGCCCCCCACCATTCGGCCCTCCCTCCTCCTCCCCCAGCGCGCAACCGAGTCAGCGGCAACCCCTTCCCCAAGCTAGGGGGGGAAATAAGCGCCCCGCCTATTCGCCCCCTCCCCACCGGAAGTACTCCTCCCCTTTTTGGTGGCGGGGGTCTTCAGGCTATGCCCCACCCCCACACCTCACCTTCGGCCCTCTCTTCGCAGCCATCCCGGTCAGGGGCGCAGCTGACACAAAGGAGGGAGGGACAGCGAGGGAGGGGGAAGGAAGTGGTGGTGGGGGAGCAGGGTTGGCACCGCCCCTGGGAGAGCCGGGTACGGGTTGCCATGACAACCGCAGGCTCGCAGGCAGACCTGAGTGGGGGTGCGGCGGGGTGGGGTCTCGAGGAGGGGTCCAAATTGGGAACTGCACCCTGAGGAGGCTCCTTCAATACCCCACCTGTCCTCGGTTTTCCTGAAGATATCCAAGCTCACACATGCCCCCTCATTGCATAGCGCCTTTCCCCAGAAGCCCCAGCTCTGGTGCACTGCTGGCGGCTACCCCAGCCCACCCGCTGCGTCTGGGCAGCTCCTTGCTTCTCACACCCCAGCAGACGGACGCCTTCACGACACTCACCTCCAGGCTGCCCCTGGGATTGCTCTCTCATACCTGCATCCCGACCTCCCCAGTCATTTCTTCCATCACCATCACTAGCCCCCTGTCTACATCCCAGCATCTTCCTGAATCCCCACTTGTTCAAGGTCCCGCCTTACCCCGGACCTCTATATGCCCCCTCCCCTTCCCCTCGACCCCTCCTTAACTCACACTGATGCGAACCAATGCATCCATGATGGAAGTGAAGGTCTGCATATCCTCACCCTCAGCCATGGCCCTACCGTGCCCGCCCGCCCCCGGGTGCCCGATCCCGGCTGCGGCTGCGAGCCCCGGGCTTAAAGCTGGAGCCCGGTGGGGGTGTGGGTAGGGGTGGGGGAGAGGTGTCACTGCGCATGCTCCAGGGACCAGCTTGGAACAGCGCCGGTCCGGGTAGAGGGTGGGAAATAGTTCTCTCCACGTGGTTCTCAAGATGCGGTCGGGGGGTTGGGTAACACGGAAGGGTATTTGAGAGGGGAGCCGTTTCTTCTATACGCATTCTTCATTGGCTCCTAATCTTACTCTTATAAAGTGGGAGGTTAGTTTCAGAGGAAGATGGGCTCCAGGTTGGGAGCACTACATTTTGGGTTGGGCAATAGTCCACAAGAGATATTGAGGCAATGGTCGTGGGGCAGGGAGGTTTGAGGAACACGCACTGGCAATGACATAAATGGCAAAGAAGACAGGTGAGCTAGAGGCTATAGGCCATGGACCTAATGACTTGAAGAGATAAGTGCAGTTTGTTCTGAGAGGCATACTGTGCGGGGTGTGCGGTGCTGGGGACCAGGGCGGTGGCTGAGGATGCTCTTTGACGCACTATTTCCTCCCTTCCGGTAGAGGGCGCTGCGTCCAGGCGCCGGGAGGGAGAAATAGGAAGACTTAGGGTGAAGCAAGTCCACCTTGGGCGTTGACGCATGCGTACAGCTTACCACACCTGGTTCGGCTCCCCTCTTTCTTGGCCTGAGGCGCCGGTTGGACCCACGGGCGGGGCGTGATGGGTAACGGGACTGGTGGGGTCCCGCGGGTGGGCTAGCGGGGGTCGGAATTGGGGCGGGCCAGCCTTCCTGATTCTCTCCCGGCTGAGCTGACGTGTCCCGGGTTCTAAAGAGCGGGCATTTCCACAAGAGTGGAGGATTCGGGGCGTCCGGGCTGAGAAATTCCTGGGGGTCTCCGCAAAGTGTGGGGAGTTGGGGAGTGTGCTGCGGTCCCTGGAGTGCTTGGAAGTGGTCGGGCCACTGAGCTTCAGGGCTGGCCGAATCTGCCTACGACTCCTGGAGGGAGGGCCGAGTCTGACTCTCCGTCCCTTCTCTCATTCCCTCCAGTGGTGGGTACGGGCACTTCGCTGGCGCTTTCCTCCCTCCTGTCCCTGCTGCTCTTCGCTGGGATGCAGATGTACAGTCGCCAGCTGGCCTCCACCGAGTGGCTCACCATCCAGGGGGGCCTGCTGGGCTCCGGCCTTTTCGTCTTTTCCCTCACTGTATCCTCCCTGCGGTGGAAGGGGGAGGGGTGTTCAATGGCAGGAAGGGTGGAGGGCCACGTAGGCTTGTGACCTTCCCCTTATCCACACAGCTCTGCCCCCGTTGCACACCCTACTCCTTAACTCCCTCAACCCAGGCCTTCAATAATCTGGAGAATCTTGTCTTTGGCAAAGGATTCCAAGCAAAGATCTTCCCTGAGAGTGAGTGAAAATTGGGGCTTGAGTATTTGAACCCTTTCTTATCTGACCTCCCCCAAACATGATGCTATATTTTCAGGTGCTTAGATGGTAAAGGTTGTTAAGGAGAAATATGTTTACTAAAACTGTCTGAAGACAGATGACACTTTTGGATCCAGATCTTATTTAGATCCTAGAATTGGATCTAAATAAGATCCAGTTGTCATGGCAACCCGTGCCCGGCTCTCCCAGGGGCGGTGCCAAACCTGGAAGAGAAGGCCTCTGAAAGCAAGAAAGCAAGAAACTCTGTTACCTACTGGTCAGCTTCCAGGGAAGGTTTGAGGGGAAACAGCCAAGTTTGGACTGATGTTTTTCGTCCACCCACCAGGAGATGTTCTTTGTCTCCATCAGAAGAAAAAGCACGACCAAGTTCACCAAGTGGTTCTGATGTGAAATTGACCCAATATTAGTGCATTCTATTTATTTAAGAAGATTGTGAAGAACCTAAATATTAGATACACCAAATTTTATGGCAGCAGAAATCCTGACCAAATTAGAATAACTATTAGGTTATATACTGTTTGGAATAATCCTTGTTAAATTGCTCATGTAACTGAGAATTGATGATTTAGCTATTTATGGAGAATTAAGTTCATAAAGCAAATTAGGCATCAAGGCCAGATCACCTAAGGAATGCCACATGCTCAGAAATTCACAGCAGATGCAATCTCATGTGAAACCTTAATCTGGTAAAACAAAGATCTGTCTCTGTTGCTCTCTTCTCTCCCTCCCCCTAGGTCTTGCTCTCTCTGCCTGCCCCTGTTGCAGGCTTCCAGAGCTCTTTCCATCCAGTAGCCCCAGCACTTCTCCCTGTTAGATTTTGTTTCCCTGTGTATTGTCTTCATGTTCTTCTGAAAGAAACCATTGTTGTGGGGCAAAGTTCTGGGCCCTCTTTGCCTTCCCTGCCCTCCCCAGCTGGGCAGGTGGGTCCCTGTTTGCCCTTGCTTTCTGCCCTCCCACCTTCTCTCCTGTCCTATTCCAGATATCATAGGAGCGAGGACCTGTGTCCAAGGAGCGAGGCCCTCAACTTTCACTACTGGCCAGCCAGCTTAAAGAATTGATTCTCATTGGCTGGCATCTGTTGGAAAGGCCTTTACCCCTTTCACAAATGGGAGAAAGCCTTGCCCTTCAGGCTCTGCTATCACCTTTCCTTTACCTCTTTATGAGAGGAAAGACTGGATAGGGAAGTTAAGTGAGATTTGGGACAGAGCTGGTAAAAAGTGTGTATCTCCTATCTCAATTTCCTGGCCATCATTAAGGCCATTTGGAAGGGTATTCAAGATTCAGAGGGTCCGAAATTTCTCCTAGACCGCACATATGAATTCCTGGTATTTGCATTCTGACCACTGCCCTTCTTGCCTCCCTAGTTCTCCTCTGTCTCCTGTTGGCTCTGTTTGCATCTGGCCTCATCCACCGAGTGTGTGTCACCACCTGGTATGTGCCTGACAACTGGGAAAGGGGTGCAGTGTCCTGTCCTTTGGCACCAGATCCATCTGTGATGGTGCTAGACCTTTTCCCCCCACACCTACCTCTCCCTCTGTTTTCCCTCCTCTGCCCTTCCCCGTTTTTCTAAACCTGAGCCTGGATTCTTTCCCTGATGCTCGTGTCTGCCCTACGAGACACCAGGCTGGCAGCATGCCCACTGATGCCATGACTTTCTTTCTGTCTTCACCCTGTAGCTTTATCTTCTCCATGGTTGGTCTGTACTACATCAACAAGATCTCCTCCACTCTGTACCAGGCAACAGCTCCAGTGCTCACACCAGCCAAAGTCACGGGCAAGGGCAAGAAGAGAAACTAACCCAGAATGTCCAATAAAGTCGATTCTTTGTAGCTCTGTGAGCTGTGATATGTTGTGGGTCTCATCTGCCAATGTCTGCTTGGGTGTGCAGCATGTTAAGACAGTTGGGGCCCTATTTGTTTCAGACCTTGGAGATGGTGAGGCTCTCCTTCCTCCAAGGTTCATTTTTACCAAATATTTATTGAGTGGCATATACTATTGTGAGAAAAGCACATGGAAGAAAAGTGCATGAATGATATGCAGTATTGATCTTTGGGGAAAGGGGTAAAAGCTGCAATGCAGGGAATCCTGACTGTCAACTGGAATAGATCTTGGAACAGAATAGTAAGGGAAGGAAAGGCCCCTCACCTCTGCACCACAGCATGGGGTTCTATATGGAGGCTTTGTTACTTCAGCTCCCTACCCTGAACAAATGAGCCTCCTGCCCCTTCTGCTGTGAGTCTGCAGGTGGGAATTCCCTACTGATGTTGCCCTCCGGGACCCAGCTGTTCTATTCAGCATGAACATATGCCTGTGTTGAGAGAGACTTCCCAGGTTGATCACTGCCCCTAGCTTCTTTATTCTGGTGCCTTCATTATTTTCCTCTGTCTTGTAGCCAAGATATTAGGAACTTCCTAACTTTTAGAAAAAGTATATAAAATGATAGGAGCAAGATTACCAACCTCTGAGCCAGGCTTAATGGAAATGAGGCAGGTGGCTGCTCAAGTCCTGCCCTGTCTGTGCTCTGTTAGGAACAACTGTCCAGAGTGCCTGTCCTTTGGGGCATCTGGGCACCCTCTCTCCTGCTGCATGGTGTGGGCTTTAGGGTGCACATCCCATCTTGGTCAGCTTTGTATTCTCCACAGTGCCTGATAATGGGCAGTAAAGACTGGTGGGTTGATTGAATGGAAGAACCTGCCCTTCCAGAACAAAATCCTGCACACGGAGGGGTGCCTAAGTTAGGGAAGAAGACCCATTGAAGATGAAGTAAGTCAGAGGAGTTCTGGTCAAGGATTAGAGGCCACCTGCACTACACTCCCATTTGTGGCCAGAACCCCAGACCCTAGCCCTTCTCCCTAGCTAAGGAGGGTGTGCTAGGCTGTTTACCCAAAATGCCTGCAGAGGGTGCTATGAGCTCACGTCTCCCTCCTGGAGACGTGGAGAGGAGGGATAATCCTGGGACTCAGTGTGGAAGCTAACCTCTTGGAGGACCCCAAAGACTGGCCCGATTAGGAAGGCTGAGGCCTGAATTAAACCTCTTCTCTGCCTAGGCTGGGAGCGGAGGCAGAGAGAGTTGAATGGAGACCAGAGTCTCTCGAGAGAATGGCAATTCTAGGCTTCAACTCACCTAGCAATTGTTTGGGCTGGTAAGGGGGCTTGTGGTATGTGGGACCCTCTGGGAGAGGCGGGGATATTGTCCAGAATGGACCCTGGACCTACAGGGAAGCTGGGTTGGTTCTAGGTCTCACTGTCAAACCTTGACTTTCTCCTAACCTGGAGTGGAAACTGGGCAGACAAGTCTAGGTGAGCACAGACAGAGCCTGGAGACCCAGCCACCTGAGGACTCCATGCCTCCCACAGTGAGAGCTGGCTTGGGTGGGGCCAGGCAGCGAGCACCACCTCTGTGGCTAGGGAAGGGTAGAGATGACCTGGAGAACAGATGCCAGGGCAGTGCCAAGGGATCTGGGCACCAGCTGCCACCCACTGCAAAGGCACCAGGGGCAGCATGTGGCCCAGCAATAATGACCCCTTCCTCAAGGAATGGGTGAATTTACAAGGCATGTTGGCGCCGACCTCAGCTCTCCACCCAGCCTATCTCTGGGTTGCCTAGTTGTAGGCTGCCTGCACCTGACCTGCTAATTAACCCTGGCAGGGGTACCACAGCCACCTAATCACCATCATTAAGTAAGGGGGCATGAGGACATCGTGGCTTCTGGAAACCTGAGGGTGAGAAAGGCAAAGGTGCTAACCTCTTGGCCCCTGGACTCCTGGGGCTCTGCTCCACCCTGGAAGCTGTAGGCCTGGGGGAAAGAGGGGCGTCCCCACCTCTGGAGGACAGAGGGAAGCCAGATGTTTCCTCCTGCTCCCTCACACGTGGCCCTTACACCCGCTGACACCCTCTGACACCCGCCAGCACCAGCCGCCAGCTCCGGAAACAGGAGTAAATAATACAGGGGGAGGAGGCTGTGCACATGAGGAGGCAGGCTGGCTGGCGGGGAGGGCGCTATGTGGGCTTCTGGCCCAGGAAACACTCCTGGGGCAGAAGGTGATGCCACAAGAGAAGAGGGCAATGAGGGAAGGTGAGCCCAGGGGCAAGCCGGCTCCCTAATCCAGGTGGAGGAGGCTGGACTCCCTGCAGACTGGCACTAACATGAGGGATGTCTGGCACTTAGGGCATGCTAGTGGGTCAGGGCGGGGGCTGGGGGCGCCCAGGGCAGGCAGGGAGGGGGAGTTTGCGCCAGGCCTTGGCTCCAGCCTTTTCCGGCCCTTATTGTCCTTGGTGAGAACAGGACGCTGTCCTGTTCCCACTGCCCGGCCCCCCCAGCTTTGCTCCCCAGGGGCTCGGGAAGGATGTTGGGAAACAAGAGAGAGCCAGAGACCTGTAGAGACAGAGATGCTGAGAGACACAGAGACAGATACAAAGGGGAAAGATTCAGTCAAAAGCAAGCATTGAAGCTCATTGTGAGCAAAGGGGCCCTGGGCGCTGTGGGAACCATGAAAGAATGGGAAGCCGGAGGCCCTGCCCTTGGGGACCTCCGGGCGGACCTGCCCTGTGCACACTCCTTGACTTAGGGTCACTAACAGAGCTGCCTGCTAAGCAGACAATGGTCGGAACCCTAATGCAGGCACAGTTGGGGGCACTTAATTGCTTCAGGTAAATGTCTTTGCTGTTCTCCCAGCTGACTGAGTTCCTTAAGGAGCAGGCCAGGATCCTGCTCCCAAATCCCATCCCCCACTTCTCCCAGGGCTGGCCACACCAAGATTGCATTGTAAATGCTGTTTGGTTGAATTCCTGCAGAGGCAGAGACAGAAACCCCCTAGCTGGCCATAGACTTAGGCACCCCCATCACCTAGAGTGAAGGGCCAAGTGTGAACCACTGTAGGCCTGACCACTGGCAGGAAGCAGAGTTTAGAGCTCTCTCCTGGGCTTGAAGAACTATTCCCACCCCAGCAAGGGTGGAAACTCCCAGGCCCACAGGTCTCAGCAATTGCTCCCTTGAAGACAGCTCCTTGGAAAGATGGAGAGGTACAGGTTCCTGCTATCTGTTGAAGATCCAGATATACTTAAAAATGAAGAAAAACGGGTTGGCCAATAAGCTTAGTTGGCTAGGGCACAGTGTTTTAACACCAAGGTCAAGGGTTTGGATCCCTGTACTGGCTAGCCACCCCCACCCCCCCAAACAAACAAACAACAACAAAAAAAAACCCCCAAACCCAAATACTCTAAATACTTTGGGGCTAGCTGGTTAGAGCACGGTGTTATAAAACCAAGGTCAAGGGTTCAGTTCCCCATACTGGCCAGCCACCAAAAAATAAAAAAGAAAAACAGGCATGTTTGCATTTGACAAATTAACACATTGTAACACAAAGTTACAATACCATATAATTATGCTATCCACAAGATCATTACAGGATTTATGTTCCTTTACAGGGAACTGCAGGTCCTATTTTATAATTTAAAGTCCTATGATAATGGGCATACCAGATTCATTGTACAATTATTTCTACTTTTATATATATTTGAAAATTCCATTATAAAAAGGTTAATAAATTTTACAGTTAGTTCATTCTTTCTGATCTATCAGAGTAACAATGTGATTGTAACTGCACTTGGAGATAACGTCAGAAGTCTAAATTTGAGGCCTATGTGACAATAAGGCCTGAGCCAAATGGCCCTTATGGCCTGTGAGGAGCCTTTCTTTGAGAACTCCTCTCACCTCAAATAAGCTGGAAGAGAAGATCCAGGGAAGGTTCCCCTACCCATTTTAGGCTGAGGCTGCACTGTCAAAAGGGACTGAAAGGTAGGATTCCTGTCCACAGAGGCACAGATCCCACTGAAAAAACTTTCTACATTCCCTTTTTCGGGTTGAGAGTTGCTGTGAGAGATGACCGCAGGCTATTTCAAGGGAATTTCTGGGACTGAGTTTACGTGCATATCTGTGTGTAAGGACACCAGGAGTGACCCCTCAGGGAGAACCTCCCCCCATCCTGCTCTTGGTCTCCAGCCTCTATCTCGAGGCTCTGTGACCCAGGCTGACCTGTACAGGGAGCCGATCAGGCCCACTTCTGACTCAGAGTTTCAGGTTTCTAGAAGACAGTGGCACAGTGGGAAAGAACCTACTTCTTGAAATCAGACACAACTGAGTTCTAGTTTTGTCTCTGACACTTACCAGGTGAGGGTCCTTGGGCAAGTCGAGTGACCTCTCAGTAACTTAAGTTCTTTGACTGTAAAATGGAGTTAATAATACCTATCTCAAATTGTGGTCATGAGAATTTGGATTAAATAACAATGGAAGAGCCTAGCATAGTACTTGACCAACTAAGCATTTGGCAAATGTTATTTCTTTCCAATGTGATGATAACAACTTAAATTGAGCATTTACCACTTGTCAAGTCACTGTACTTAGTGCTTTATGGATACTTTCAATTTTTTATTCACTCTTTTTTTTTTTACTAGAATGCTGCTTGGTATATAGCAGATCAATAAATGTTTATTAAGAGAAGAAAATCAGGGCTGGCCCGTTAGCTCAGTTGGTTAGCGCACAGCCTTATAACACCAAGGTCTGGCTGGCTCCCCATACCCGCCAGCCGCCAAAAAAAAAAAAAAAAAAACAAGAACTCCATTAGCAACACACTACTATCACACTTTGAGCTTTTTGCTGAAACTCAGCTTCTACCCTGCACATCAACTCCAAACTGCTGAAACTCCAGAATGAGCCAGATGTTTCTCTCAGCTGCCCAGACCTGTTTCTGGGTCCCTTCTTCCTCAGGCTATCATCTTTTCCCATCTTGGTCTAGGTTACCTTCTTTAGGAACCTTGACTCACCCAGCC